CAGCGCGCCCTGCGCCTGCCGCAGCTCCCGCGCCGCTGCCTCCGGGGAGCCCGCCTGGCTCTTCCAGAGGCCGACCTGCGGGGACAGAGGGCAGGGGATGAGCGTCCCGCCCCAGCTGCACAGCAGGGATGTAGGGCGACCTCAGACACCGCCACCGCCACCACCCAGCGTATCCGGAGGCACAGTGACCCGGGGACCGCGCATTTCACTGTGCGCTGCCTACGCGCCTGCTATGCCCCAAATCACTTAATCCTGCAATATCCCGGAGGAAGCAGGCGAGGGAAACTAAGTCGGGAGGCTCACGTTCTAGTCTTTGCAGAACAGCGATTCTCTGGTGAGCCCGGTGGCACACGCTTGCAACCCCAGCCCTCGGGAGGCTGAGGCAGGAAAATTGCTTGTAGTTAGTTCAGTGTCAGCCTGGACATTTTGAGACTCCGTTTCCAAAAAAAAAGTGATCCCCTAACTTCGCGGTTTCATAGCCTCTGCCTTCAGTACCCACAGCCTTCAGCCTGCCCTGGCTCCTTGTCCCATAGGCGCACAGGGAATACACACTTCAAGCTGGTAACTCCCACCCTCCCCGGGGTGTGTGCCCTCAACTGCCCGCTCCCTGAGGGCGGGGCTTTGCCTGTCTTCACTGCTTTGTTCCCAGAACCTAGAGCGGGCCTGACACAGCCGGTGACCAGGAAATGCCTGGGAATGAATGATCAGGGACCCTCTTCTCAGCCTGCATCCCACGCATGACTGGTGATTTCCCACCTTCGTCCTTAGCCTGCCACCTGCCCGTCCCTTTGCACACGCAGCTCTGAACCACACCCTGTCACCCCTCTGCTCGTGCTGCATCCCCTCTTCGCCCCCCCCCCTCCGCCGTGACCAAGTTAAGGGCTGGAGGAGAGGTACTGTATAATAGTGCTCTCCTCCTGACCTGTGGGCCCCTGGGGTAGGGGCTGTTCCTTTTTTGCTTTGACCCCTGGCCCCTGGCACTGCCCCCGGCACATGGCCGGGCACAGCGCTGAAGTGTTTGTTGACTGATCTCAGATCTGTGTCCACAGCTCCCGAAACGCCTCGCAGCTGAGAGCAGGTCTGGCCGTGACAGCACTGGGTGGCAAGTGACTGCCACCCTGTAATCCAGTGTGGGCCACGCTGCCTCAAGTGGGCTCCAGGCTTGGCCCTGAGGGCGCCTCATAGTATTTGCTGAACTGTGAAAGGAGCTATCTCCCCACTAGGCGGGAGGCCCTCGCCCTTAGGGTTAGAAGGGACCAGAGCAGACGGGGGAGTCGGGATGGTGGTGGTGTGTGGAACGGTTGTCTATGTGAGACTGGAGTTTTGGTGGGTGGAATGGGCGGTAACAACGGGGGGGGGGGGCGGTGAGGCACAGTGGCACACACCTGTAATCCCAGCCATTCAGGAGGCTGAGGCAGGAGGATGGCAAATTCGAGCCCAGTCGGGGCAACTTTGCAAGACCCTGTCTTAATTAAAATAGAAAGAGCTAGTTTTGGAGCACATTAGAGCGCTCCTAGGTTCAGATCCCCAGGATGAGGGGGAGGGTGGATGGGGATGGGGACTGGGTGGGAGTGGAGTGGAACCGAATGGGGTCGGATAAGGACAGGAAGCAAGGAAGTAGAGCGGAGTGGGTAGGGCTGCCCCCTCTGTCCCCTTCCGCCTCCTCTGCCCAGTCCCGGCTCAGTGGCCCGCGGCCCAGACCACCGCTATGGGATAGACCACCCCTATGGAACTCCCCCCACCCGCCCCGGGCGCACCTGCAGCGCGAGGCAGCGCGCGTCACTGCTCTGCAGCGCGGCCCGCAAGTCCTCCACCAGCTCGCGCAGGCTGCCGTTCTCCTCCTCCAGCCGCGCCACGCGCTCGCGCTCGCGGCCGCCGCCGTCGGGGCC